TTGCTTGTTTATTTAGTTGTACACTTTATAGCTAATCACGTGTGTGTGAACTGTACTATAAATAGGATTGGTGTGCAATCCAGCATGGCGGTTATTCAAGTGGAATTAGGAGCTTGTGGATTGGTTTAAAGTTCTTAAATTATACATAGGTGACCGTGACTTCTAGAAGCAAATTTAATGTATTCGAATGTTGTCAGGAATTATTATTTAGCTTCTTTGTATACAAACTGGTCGATTCTGATGGGATTTTAGAAGTTGTATAACTTTTGTGATCACTTTTGGACAGTTTCGTCTGATAAGCTCTTAGGTGGTTAGTATGAATATTAATGATTACATCACTGCACTTTTCATCAATGAACTTAGTGTTTGTTTACATTAGATTTAGGGATGTAAACATAACATAAAAGTGAGCTGTTTTATTATTTCTGTATAATTTATTCACAGGTAAGAAAGTAAGAAGGTGGAGAATTTGTTGAGGATTACTTTTTAGCCTTTTGAGTATAGTTTTGCTCACATGATATGTGAGAAATTAAGGGAAACTTTTTTATATGAATTAGTTGCCCACCGTAAGCTTCAGGGAAAGTGGGCGTGGCTAAAACTATTAGTGAGTGAAATGACGTAACAGTCTGGCTCGCACTTTAAATGGTATAAATAGGGCAGATTTTCGGCGATTCGGGGCTGTTTTGGTGGATTTTGACCCAGGGAACATCAATTGTGCCGCTGATCGCTGATTTGTCGTAGTGTTGGGGAGCCACACAGAATTGTTTCACTGTAGGTTTTGTAGAATTGGGGGACTACTGAATAGAGTGGAATAAGGAAACATTATATAGTGGGATCCAGTACTAGTGAAATTGATACATAATCAGGCTTGGAATTAGTTTTGAGTGGAGAGCATTTTAATTGGGGAGCTCTGACTTTGAGTGGTGAGAATTCGGACCGGCTGGGAAGCTTGTCGTTGCCAAGAGTCGGGGAGCTTGTCATTGCCAGGTCTCGGGGAGCTCGTTGATGACCGAGGAGTCGGGGAGCACTCATTGAGTTGCTGTAAGTTCGATTCCATTATTGTTACCTAGGAAACCTATTGAGATGCTGACAGTGGAGTCAGTGAATTTGATTTACTTGGAGTTAGACTACAGAGTCTGAATTCCTCTTGGTATTTAGAAGAGGCCTGGGGCCCGAGTTATTAACTTTGAGTTTGGCCTGGGGCCAAAGTGTTCAGTGAGCTGGCCTGGGGTCAGAATTACTAATTGAGCCTTGGTGTACTTTATTGAGAAGATAATGTACTTAGAGCTCGGATGGAAGGTGGAGTACTTATTCCTGTAAGATTTTGGAGGCTTGACGAAGCCTTGTCTTAAGTCAATTGATTATTGAACAAGTTGAAACGATACTTAGTTCAATCTGTTCCAGGGTAGGTGATACCTGGTCGCTCTGTACATTGTGTGGAACGTACATTTACTACCCCCCTCCATTCTCCCTTGGTGTATAAAGGACTTGTCACGTTTTGTTTAATTTGTTCTTGCAAATTAATTCTATTCTGTAAATTGAACTGCTGAATGAATTGAAGCTGCCGTTTATGCAATTAAAGAATTGTTTCATCTCTGTTCTGAATTACTGGAGTCTCTGCATACATTATTTGCATTCTGTTTTCCCTGCACTTGATTCTCCTCCTGAAGTAACTTCGTCATATATTTTGACCTGGATCCACGCCGGCCGATACGATTTGCTAAACCGGAGAGGCGGAACTCCGGAGGTTTAGGCCTTAACTATTCTGCCTGGTGGCAGCGCTATCTTCGGGAGGTTTCGCGAGGAACTGAAGCCCCCCCCCTTCTTCCGCCATAATATTTAGGATATATGGAACGATTTCATTTGTTTCGTGTCATTTAAAGGTCGTCCTTCGCAAGGTCAACATGAATGGTATTTATGCAGCCAAGCCCTATGCTTTTCACCAGTGTGACAAATGCTTCGGACGGAAGTTTAATCTAGAGAGGCACATGGAAAATATCCATGTTGAGGAAGAATCAGGCATGAATGAAGTTGACGAAAACTCGGATTCTGTTGAGGAAGTCGATGACGAAACCTCGGATGAAGACAGTTCAGATTTGGAAGACAATGCCGCCTGCCAAGATTGGCTGGCTGAAGCTAGAGAAACACATAGGGGGGCGAGGGATGAAAAATATGGCAAGTACGTGAACGAAGGCACGAAGATCAAGCCAGGCAGAAGGTAAACAGAAAGACTCTCTGGGCAGTCAAGCAAGACATTTTTTACAACTATAAGGAGTTTCTGTCAACTTACCTATATTTGAGGGAATATCACAAGGACATTGTGGATGATTTCGATGGAAAACTTGATAAAGGCATGAACGTCAACAAAGCCTTGAATAGAGTTTTGCCTAAACATGCCGAAAAATTTGCTGGACTGTTTCATGACGAAGAGGAACATGCCTAAAAGATAACAGTCTGCAGAGACAAATGGTTCCAACAAGAATGAGTACATATAATGCCTCTGATTTCAAAGTGAACATACCGCTGGTAATCACCCTTGTAGTAATTCTTAAAATTATTAAGATATATGTACAGGGTATTAAACCGCCGTAAACATCCGTTCAACGAATTTTAAAAATTTTGCCGGAGCCCAAACCTATACATGTACAGGGTAACCGACGTAAAACACTCTAGTTCAAAGGAGTAGACATTCAGCTAGGGACAACAGAGTCTTCTTCCCGTATCTATCAAATCTGGGCTGCCATAGTAAGCTTTGTTTGGGAATTATCACTCAAAACCCGGTGGCACGAGCTGTCTATTGTGTAGGGATTATCGCTTCCTACTCCTTAATTACCTTAGGATCTCCCTGTAGGCCCGTCGGTATTTTTCCATGCCGTCACGTCACCACTGACTCATCCTTTTTCATCATGTTATGCCGTAATTTCACAAGCAAGGTCAAATTCAGTGTACCGAAAAATTTACCCCGTGCTATGCCTTATTCCTATTTTATCCCATAAACCAGGATCAGCCTGTGCCAGACTTTCTGACCTTATGCCTATCCCTTACCAAAGGTCAATCTGTACTATAATTTTTGACCCTACACCTCATTCCTATTCATATTTTTTTATCATAATTATTATATTATGCATATTAATGTCACCATCTCCAAAGGTCAAAGTGTGCTATATTTCAAGGTCAAAGTGTGCACAACTGATCCCTGCCACTACTAACAGCACACACATTATAGGCATATGTATATGGCTCATAATGACCCTGTAAAATGATTATCCAATATTCATATAATCTTTTTAAAATTCAACTGCAGAATCCAATATTTTCCAGCCTTTTTACCCCCTTAGCCCCCGTAGAACCACCTGTGTTGCAAGCGTAGCGAAATGACACATTTCCAAGTACGAAAAAAGAACTCGCTTTTCCGACACGAGACGACATGACAACAGTTTAAGATGAAGGGGGCACGCAACGAATTTGCATTTAATGCTCCCATTCATATGACGCAGAATCCATTGTTAGGGTTTTGAAAATGAAATAGGGAATTGAACTTGACGATCGATGTTCGGGAACGAAATTGAAGTTGTGGGTTTGTTGTCAAAATGACCTGTACTTAGCACAAATGGAAGACGCAAAGACTGGGTATTATTGGGCTACAGCCAAGTCGCAGAAGGGACACGCACTTGACGACCAAGTGAGTAGACCTCCATCGGTTGAAAAGAGCCATAATGTTCGGAAGTATTCATTTTCGTGGTAGCGATGCGACCGTACAACGCGTGCATTTCATCATTATTCGTGAATCAGCGATGATTACTTTCGACCAAAGGTCGGAGCCTCCGTTGCTCAAAGTCCATTAGCGCACAAACTTAAAAGGGCCCGAAATAGATGTAGAGATAGGATCTGTCACTGTTACCCTGTTAACTGTTGACATACAGATGTCTCTTTTGAAACAAATATTTAAACACAGATATCTCCGTTACAGAAATAGACTTGACCCTATACATCAAGACTAATCTGTGATTTGCAGGTGCTTTTATTTTTGTCAGATTATCTGTATCTCTTCTGCCCTCCGAGTCACTGTGATAAGCATACACAGATAGGCCCTATGCAGAGGCCTAAACATCTTTCCTTGACTGGAGCCCGCGTTTAATGGAAAACGATGTAAAACTGTGCACAAACAGATACAGGATGTTTTGAGACAAGGAATTAATAAAATCAGTAAGTTGCACAACAATACACAGCAAATGTAGGAAATGCAGGAAGTCAAAGGACTAGGAAGTATACTCTAGGTAGAATACATCTATGCACATGTGGATTAACTTGCAAGAGGACACAAGTAGATGTAACTACATACACGTGTACATGTAGAAAGAATCCATGTACGAATTCAAGGGTAAAATACAATGTGTGATATATCACTATGAAACCTCATAAAATACCAACAGTCCTGTGCACAGACACGTAGATAAAAATGTAACATGTACAGTCATAAAAATGCGTACAAACACCGGACATACATCAACTAAAAATCTCCACTTAAAACATACTAGAAAAGGTATACATGTAAAACTACATGAACAAGGCAGTAATCCATGACAGGCCTGTACATGTATAATTAAGATGAACCCATAAAAACAGACAAAGGCAAGAAAATTAAGAACTGAGAGTTCCCCAAAACAAAACCCCGGTAAATAACACTACAGGAATTGGCAAAAACGTGAGTCCATGCATTATATTTGTGTACAACAAAGTACTATGCACGTGACTGTTCTGGAGATAAGCGTGACACTGAAACGGACTTTTTTACCAGAAATAAACCATGAATCCGACTTACATCAAGCTATCAAGGGACTATAAATTGAAGTAAACATGGAAAAAGATAAAATTACGTATCGTGCTCCAACAAGGGCTTGAAAATAAAGGTGGAAAGTTGTAAAATGTACAATAAAGGTAACGTGGATGGCATGGAACGGCAGAAGGAAAATAATGGTAGAGGGCGGTAGACTAAATTACTGTGGTTGAGCAGCCGAGAGCAGAGTTGGGCGCTAGAAGTTAGTATCCAACTAAATATATTTGTTGTGCTGCGATACTGGAGCAAGAATTAACCATTAAACTCTGTCGTTAGTGTCGGGCATGTGGACATTTCTTCTCAAATTCTTGGAATCTTTTCGGTCTTTTGATGGTCAAAGCCTGTTAACTATATTCACTTGACAAACAAGTTTGTCGTAGTTGCTTAGCCTCGTTTTCATGGTTTCTAGCAGTACAGTGTGCCGGAAGTAGCAATCCCTGAGGATGAGGCAGCATTTAACTATTTTGTTAATTTTGGGGGGGGGGGCGGACGCCTTTTCTGGGAATACGGTCTTGCACCCTCTGTTGTTGGCTAATCTGCCTTGATAAAAGGCATCCTCTCAAGCATTGAACAGAGCCGGGTTGATGGAATTAAAGTAGGCCTATTCAATCGAGCGTCGTCTTTTTCGTAGTGACGCGAACTTTTCCAAAATCGAAGCACTTTCCTCCATGGCGCTTGTACGTTGATTGTTTCTTATTCCTCTTTTTAGCAACAGCGCTTTAATTGTTTCAAGAAATGTTGTTGCATTCCAAATAGTGAAAAACTACACTTTGTTAAGAATTTTCATAGAAAACAAAGCTAACCAGTTTCATTTAAAAAAAAAAAAACTTCTCTGAAGTAATGCCAGAACAATTGTCTCATCGAGTGGTGTATCACTGTATGTGATTTACTGTGTGCCCCCCCCCTAGCATGGCACCAGCCCGACTAGCTCCAGGTACCCTGTCTCTGAGGTGACTAGGGTCGCAATGATCCCTACGGCGTGCTGATGGAGACAGCCGAGAGCGCGAAGCCACTTTCAAGCATTTCACACTGAACATCAGATCACGTAGAAGCAGGTAGGCCCAAGATGTTAACCCACCAAAAAGGGCAGACGAGTGTACATTTATCCGCCCCACATCATGCAGGCCTCCTAGTATTGCTACATGTATACCATCGAGGATCCCTCCATGTGTATACTCTCTTCCCGATTTCGCTGCCATATTCAGATAATTGTATTTCATGCTAGGCCTACATATCAGCACATGTCATTTTCTGACACCAGTTTTGTAAAATGGACCAGGCCTAGTTTGGAAAGATTCCCCCCTTTTTGTTTACAGGACTGTGGCAGCTACCAGACCTAAAGATCTCTCAAAGAAGTCTAGATCTTTTGAGTCTAGAAACCAGATTAAAATTGGACATGTGATTTTAATCATTCATAAATTTTTCATTGAAGACTGATAATAAATTATCTAAGCCTAAGCGCTTTTCGTCACAGGAAGGAGTGCTGATTTCTATTAACATGATTAACCTCAAATGTAATTGCCTTAATTTTTTTCAGGTGGCACCCATGGGGAGGCCGGGTCAGAGTGTGGACCATTGGCGGAGGGGAGCCCTTGCAGCTAGGATAGTGTGACCACCCACTACCCAGGACAGACCCCATGCCACAGCCCGTCTGGTCTACCGAGAGGTGAACATGGAGATCACATTCTGGGTGAGTCTCTTCACACCACACTGTGACACTTTAGGGTTTATTGGCTATTTAAGGTTTTGATAGAACTTACTTGGAAGGCAGGATGGTTTTGAAAAATTCGTGAGATGGTTCCTGAATCAATCATCGACAAGCCCATGTCCAGATGTCACATGGTTAAAGTTACTACAGGTTTATAAGTATCATCATTTTGAAAATGGCTTTTGTCTTAATTCTTCAGAAGCAAGTACATGTAGCAAGTTTGAAGTTTTTCTCACTGGCAGACCTCATAGGAGGGGTGCGCATCACCCAGGGCCAAAGCGACAGGTGGACTGAAGGTAGGACCAGCGATCAATGTGGTTTTGCACCTCGTTTGATGAGATTAATAGATGGAGTTTTGAAGTAAAATGTAAAGTGCAAGAATTTAGTACCGATTGTGTAAATTGGGCTTTATATCTGGTATAATGTCGACATTTAGTGTTATGTTTCTGTCAACGTTGAGTCCGTCCACTGGCTTTGCCTGGATTTTCTTTGCAATGAGAGCAAGATTTCTTTCTGGTGGGGCTCCAAAGCACTCACCAACAAATTGATGAACTACATTGTATG